CTGACTGAGGTGGCTTTGTCTAACTGGCACAGTACCCAGTTTCCCTGTCTGTAAGGATTTCTCTCTACACACTCTCCTTCCTCTGACTCCATCTCTTGGAAGGAGTGACAGGTGTGGGTGGTGACAGTTGCCCCACCTTCCTCAGAGAGATGGACACAGTTGCTATGAGGCTCTGGCGACCTCCTGGTGCTTTGCAGTCAGGTGCCAGGAAGCATGGGAACTTGGGATTGCTGAGAACATCTGTCCTGCCCATTCCTGACCGACTCTGCCCGATAGCTCTTTCCCTGACTGCTTCCTTGTTCCAAGCCCTGCAGGCCACTGTGCTGTCCTTGTAAAGGCTGCCGCTCCTGGGAAGACCTTTTCCCTCTCCCCTCCCACCCTTTTGGGTGCTGCCCCTAACAGAGTTCTTATTTACTGTGCAGCCAGCTTGCCCTTGAGCCAGCCTCCACATGCGATAACAGTGGCCTTGAACCTTGTCTTCACATCCTTGGCCTCGGGTAGTTTCTCAGCCACATGGCCCAGCAGCTCACCTGGTTTGCTTGTAGAGTCAGAGTGGGTTAGGGAGGTCTTTGGACATATTGCATGCTCAGTCTGCCAACACCCTCCACAGGGGACTTCAGGTTGTCCTTCCACTGTCTGTCCTCCGCAAGCTCTCCCTGAACACCTGGCCCCCTTGTCAACACACTTGCCCCATTTCTCAGTCCTATTGTTGGTAGTTTGTTGTCTCTCTTCCCAGTAAAACTGTAAAATTTTACAGGACCAGGACTTTTATCTAATCCCAGCACAGTTTCTTGTATATTAAATATATTTTTACAATGTTTCCAAAACAAATCAATTGATGGTATTGCCAAGTAATGTATTTTGGCTTAAACCCCTCAGTGACAGTGAAGTAGCAGCTTGGCAGTGTTCTCTGTAATGACTGGAAGGACTCTGAGCCAGTGCTGCTGTAGCCAATAAAACAAGAAGTTGGGTTCCCCACTAACAATGCAGAAATAACGATAACACTTTGATTTAGCAATCGATAAGAGCTCAATTAGCGTGTCAGAGCTCTGAGCTGGTCGGTTTGATTTAAGAGAAGCAGTGTGATTTTATTCCCTATGGCTCCTGTTATGAAGTAATCATTATGAGAGCTTCAAAGATAATAAATTCAGAACGTGTCTCTATCTATGCTAGAGTCAGATTTTTTATGATAGATACATAGAAAAACATGATTTGTAAATAATTCATTGGAAATTGGTTGTACCTTAAAAGATGATCAGCAGATCAAGCTTAAATTTCTAACTGAAATATTTCATCACCCAAGCAGATGGGGGCTCAAGAATGCTACCCAAATCCCCAGCTGGCCCCAGGCCCACAGTGGTGTGGTGCCTCCCACCATGGGTCTCTTGCACTTTATCCTATCCCTGCTCCTTAGGAGATAACTAAGCTTTCTCCTTGTTCAAACACTGGAGAGAGAAAATAACGAGTTCTGTGTTTTCATACATTTTCTTTTACAGTGGAGAAACATCTGTCTTAACACAGAAGAAAATGCCTAAGTCAAAAATGTCACTCAGGGCTCAATTTCTGAATGACCTGTGACTGGTATGCTAAGCCAGCCAAATGGTAGGTTAGCCTCAAGCGTGGTTAGCTCACACTGGGCTACATCAGGAGTGAAAGGGTGGCTTTCTGAGAATTACTCTGGGCAGTGGGCATAAACTGGCCCTGTCACTGCACAAAGGTCAACCATGACATGGGTCAGCCTGCCTGGTGGGGTCTTATAGAGTACACGATCAAACGTAGGGCAAGGTGGGAGCCACTACTGATGGGTGCTGACTGTGCCCTCTGCCCAAGCCCTCCTATTGCTGGTTCTTGACAGAGAAGCAGGTGGGGACCTGGTCTGTAGGGAAGAGTCCAAGCCAGCAGATACTCCTTAGAAACCCCACCAGCCCCTCACAGGCTCCTGCAGGCACAGGTGTCTGGTAGACTCAACACTTTCATCCTGTGAGGGAAGGGCTTCATTTCTAAGGCTGGGATGTCATACCTGTTCATTTCCTGCATGTCAGGTTGCACCCTAACCTGGGGTGGATTCTAGCTCAGATATAATGTGTTCACCATAGCAGGAGGGCTAACTCAGTAATACAACTACACTGAGGGAGAAGCACAGCTGTGGTCCAGAATTGAGCCACAGGAAGCCAGTGGTTGCTGCAGCAATATCTTGGTCAGTAGGGAGGGGTTGGCTCTGCCTTCCTGCCTTGGCCCCTTCTTTTTTTTTTTTTCCTCATTGAGTTTATTGGTACATATTAGGTATACAGTACAGTAACACTCATCATTGGGATCTTGTACCTTCACATGACAGGTCTTGGTTCTCATTTTTCCTCCTTATCCCTGCCCTCCCTTTACCCCTCCTCCCTCCCCCTTTACAAACACTTCATTTCCATTTCTTCATTTTCTCATATTTTTCTTTCCCCTTATTCCCTTTCCCCTACCCTTCCCACTTTCCCTACACCTTTAGCCCCTTTCTTCCTATTTCATATTGTCCCTTCTTTTTCTGTTTCTGTAGTTGATGAAGGGGTGGACATCACCATTACGCTGAGGAAAAGACATTAAGCCTTCACAGAAAATTCTAAGTTCTTTCTTTCTATTGGAACTTTTGCTGAGTCTCTGGAACTTTCCATCACTCCCCTCTCTTTCCTTGCTTTTCTGCACTTGGGTTGTATATTAATGACTCACCTGCTCTCTCCAGGACAGGATGGGAGGTCTCAGGCAGCCTGAGTGGATGCGCCATGGGCACAATGATCACGACACACAGACAAGAGAGGAGGGCAGAAAACAAGTCATGTGGGCATGCATTTGAGTTACCACAATTCCAGAAAACTGGGGAAAAGCAGCCTCCACCGTGCTGTGACAGAGGAGGCTGGCACCGTGTGGCAGAGTGACACATTTGCCCTGGAACCTGCAGTCCTCATGCTCCTTGAAGAATCATAGAACTCCACTGGAGTTCAGACTCTTGACCTGCTTTTCATCTTATTTTTGAAAGATTGTCACATTGACAGTAATGATATTATAGTCAATATTAGCATAGCACTGCACAAGGTGCTTCACATGGGTTTTCTTGAAGTCCCTGCAAGGCCTTCATGACCAGGGACAGAGAACAGAGCAGTTGGGCAACTTCCCTGAGGCCACACAGTACGTGGGTGGTGGGGAGCAAGGCCTGAGCCACTTCAGCATCACACGTTGTCTTTTGCTTCACTGATTCCCAAGAAAAACGTCTACATAAAATCTATTTCACCCCAGAACCTCTAGCTGCATGTCTGGCATATCCAGCATACACATTCACGATCAGTAAAACAATAAAGGCCCATATTTTAAAATTAAAGTTAAGCAGACCAGGCTCACATAGGCAGGATGCCCAGTCAGCTCTTGCAAGTTGGGAAAGGCTCAGGATGTGCCTTCTGTCCAGCCCTGTTTGTGTGGAAGTGGGCAGGGTATTGGCATGCTGGATGTCCCTGCGCTATCTGCTCTTTACTTCCAGGCTCTGCAGCCCTGTCACCTGCTGGATGAGGGCTGAAGACCCTACTCTGGGTGACAGGGAATGACTACAAACCAGTAGACCTGGGCAGACATACAGACAGCAGAGGCCCCAGAGCAGCCCTCAGGGTGGGGTTTCAGCATGCACCTGAACCAGTGTTGGGATTCAACCCAGTGGCCATGCCCAGGCTGCCACAAAGTGCATTGTGATCACACAAGACGGTGGGTGGCAGAGGAATGGGGAGGAGCTACACAGTAGTTCCTTGGGAGGGCTGGGCTCAGGCCTGACCTCTGCCTAGGGGTGCCTGCTCAGAGCACAGCTGGATGCAGCCAGCTTCTGTAAACACACACAGCTCTGCACTGGTGCCAGGATCCTAAATGAGTCTTCGGGCCTCCTTTATGCTGCGTCCCAAGTCCTCCAAGGTACTTGACCTTCAGTGTGGGGTTTGCTCAGTCTCATGCTCAGGGTTAGCTTAAGTAATTGCAGTGACTCCATTACAATAAAACAATTTTCCTGGGCTACAGCACCTGAGAAATCCCAGAGCAGTTCAGGGAGAGTTCCAGGCATCCCTCCACAGCCAGCAACACACATCAGTCTTAGAAAAATGTGTTCTATCTCATTTTGGTTGACTGCCACATCAAATGCCAGAAAAGAGGCTCCAAACACTATTGTCAAATGCCCAGCACACCAGTCACCCAGGACCCAGGTACCACCCAAACCTCTACCAGGATGCACAATTCTCCTGGCCCAAAGATGGCCATTCACTGTGCTTTCCTGCACAGTGAAGTGTGGCATCTTCCTCCTGAAGCTGTCACAGAAATCACTATCCTTTTCCATTTAGAACCCATTGCGATTCTGACTGCTCCTTGTTTAAAACTCACCTCCACACAGCTTGGTACACCCTGGGGCCCTTTGGACTGGCCCTGGACAAGGGCCAGTCTGTCAGCATCCCAGCCCCCCTGCCCTCTGCCTATCTTGGACACTTGCCTCGTCGCTGGTGCCCAGGCCCCAGTACCCATGGCAGGCAGAGCCCACTGCTGTTCTGGTCACCCAGCCAGGCTGCTCTTCCTGGGAATGAGAATCTTAAATGATAAGTAGATGCAGCATCAAGACCACGACTCTGGGCACCAACATATAACTCCTGCTGTTCCAGGGTCCATGCCGATGCCCACTGCCACTTTAGGCCCTTTTCTATGGAGTCTCATGTGTCCCATCTGTGCTTACAGCAGTCACTCCTTGAAGAGCACTTGTCTCACAGGAGCACTCCTGAGGCTCCTGCCTGCAGCTGCTGTGACACCACTATGAGGCAGACACCCCAGCGCCAGGGGAGCACAGGCAGCCCCAGCTCTGCAGCTGTCCCTGCACACAGGCCCTCCCTGTATTGCTCCTAGTTGGGACCCAGGAAGGTGGCGAGAGGAGCCATAGTCATGAACCACCTGGGTGCCCTGCCCTGAGAGAGCAGCACAAGACCACAGCAGGGTGCAGGCATCACCTTGGCTGGCAGCTTCTCGCGCTCGATCCCTCGGTGTACATTTGAGGCCGTGGTTTGGGACAGAGCCTCCAAATAGGGCAGGTATCGCTGCAGGGTCTTAGCCAGAGCCACATCATCCTCCAGGCTATACTGCCTCTCAGTGTCCATATTCTGCTGTGAGGTCCTGAAAAGCAAAGCAAACCACAAGTCAATTGTGTGTGCAGTCTTTGAGGACAAGCTGCTGGATGTGGGCAGGAGTGTGGGATGTGCACTGCACTGTTTAGCAGTGAGGCCCACCTGCACCTGCTCCACACTCTGCCTTAGCCTGCCAGGGAGTTGATTTCTTTGGACCTCTGGGCCTCCTGGGGAACTGACAAATGGTCCAAAAGAGCATTCTCCCACTGCGAGAGGTGGAAGGTGAGGCTACTGCAGAGAAGGAGGGTGGTAGCCTGGGAGTAGGAGGGCCACTGCTGTGAGATTTGAAGGTTAGGAGGAAAAGTGGCTATGGAAACTGGACATGGCAAGTCACAGGAGGTCCCTGCCCAGGAAGACCCATGTCTGAGCCCAGGTCAGGGTGATGCTGGACAGCCAGTTTGCACTATTTTGGTTTTTTTTAGAATTGCATTTAGATTTTATTAGAGGAACAATGACTAAAAGAAATTCACATTGTAATGGTGATGGTTATAGGTTGTAGTGAATGTTATATTATGACAAAAAGAAATGATTGCCACCGATTCATTATGTACTGTCTTGTGTCTTTGTGTTATAGTGTTTATTACACAGCACGGGAAACCAGTATGGCACTCTGTGCCCCTAAGTCCTGACTACTGCTTAATTTGACAGCTTGTCAGCACCTTCTACACACATGCACTCCTAGGCAGAGAAGTCTGAGGCTGAGACAACAGGTCAGGTGCTTCTGTGGATGTGATGGATAGGGCTCATTGTGTGAATGGAGTGGCAAAGCTGAGGCCACAGCAACCCAGGCACCACCACAATGCAGCCTCCCTTCCCACACCATAGGGCACCTGGAGAGGGGGAGCAGTGCAGTGTGCCCAGGCATGACCACTGTACTGTCCTGTGACTTACACACACTTGATAAATGCATCAGGATTTCAGGTGGATGTAACTGATCACAGAGCCCCAGTTAGGGTAACTGGGGATTCAGGGAGAACATGTGGTTCTCAGGAATGAACCAGGGAAGGTGTATGATATCTGTATGTATTAAAATGGTGACTGTCACTAGCCAGCAAGGAAATGCAAACAAAACCACGATGAGGTACTATCTCACCAAGTAGAATGGTTATTATCAAAAAAGACAGACTACCCAGTGTTCGGTGAAGGTGGGGAGATGGGGGATTCTGTGTAATACTGGTGGGAATGTAAGTGAACACAGTCACCATGGAGAAGTATGGAAGCTTTCCCAAAACAAGAATGATCTACCTTTTGCCAAGCTGTCCCAGTTCTGGGTATACATCCAAAGGAAATCCAATCAGCATAATAGAGGGACACTGGTACACCCATATTTATTGCAGTACTGCTCATAATAGATAAGATATGGAGTCAACATAGGTGCCCATTAACAGAAGAATGAAGAAAAAGAATGTGGTATATGTGGAATATTATTCAGCCACAAAGAAAAATGAAACCTGTCACTTGCATAAAGATGGAACAAGAGAGTATTATATCAAGTGAAATAATCCAGACATGGTAAGACAAGTACTGCATGTTTTCTCTCATATGTAGAAGCTAAAGAAAGTCACCTTGAATGTAGAATAATGATGACTGGGGGTTCAAAAGGAAAGGAGAGAGGGGTCAGATGATGGGCACCAGAATGCAGAGAGAGGAATAAATTCCAGTGCTCCAAAGCAGAAGTGTAATTATAGTTCACAAGGACCTATTTACTACAAGCTTCATGAAGATGCAAAAGAGAGGATCTTGAAGACTCCACACAAAGAAATAATAAGGATGTGGAAATGCTTACTACCCTGATTTGATCAGTGCATGCTGTATATAAGCATTGAAATATCACACATAGCCCCAGTTGATGTGCACAATTAATACATGATAATAAAAATTTCTAAGAGAAGATTTTCCCAAAACCTTCCTATTTGTGTTGAATTATCTTAGTGGATAAACCCACCCTTTTTATTTCTAGTGTCTCTTCAAAGAACATTGTCTCAGGCTTAAACAGGTATATAATTAACCAGGTGATTCAGGTCTTTACTCTCAAATCATGGCTCCAGTTTTCTTGACCGTTTTAATGGATGAAATTTTGTGTTCTATGCTATTGATGTGTAATTTAACTGAACTCAATTTACTTGTCTGGCATTTTGCTTATTTTTCTCACTAATTACTAATCAATGCAGATGGAGCTGGCTCATAAAAATGTGCCTTTAAATTGTCTTATTTGTCTTCCCTGTGCCTCATCCACACACAGGGACTTGTGAGTGACGATGCAATGTGTCACAGTGACAAGTGGGTCCATCACTGCTCTGCACAGCACTGTAGTGATTAATTTGCAGCTGGCTTCTGACCTCTCATCTGGCTTTGAATGGGTCTGTGGAAGTTTCCCCTATAGAAAGGTGGAAGGTTCTTGTACCACGCTCTGTGTACTCTTCCTGCATTGAATGCGCTGGCCTTGAGGTCTCAACCCGTGGCAATGCTGGAACCCAATTTCTCAGAGGAGAAAATCCAAATTAGAAAAATCATGGCAAGGCTGGTTCCCATTGCACCCCTCTATAACCCCTTCAAGCAATTTGTTTCCCATGTGCAGGGCTCACAGCACCCTGATGTTCCCCGTGGAGTCATGGGCCCTCTGGCCATCCCAGGAGCCATTGCACAGGCCAGCTCTCAGTTCTCAACTGCCGCTTCTGTGTCATGTCTACACCTCACAGTGGAACCTGTAGTGCCCATTTGCTGATTCCCAAGCTGCATCTCTTTCCAGCTTTATCATTCAGGGCTCACTCCAGTCAAGGAACATAAGGGAGGCCAGCTTGGGCCAGCTGCTGCTTCTGTTCAGTCAGCCCAGGACAGGCTAGGGGCTCCCAAACCCTTATCTCACTTTTACTGAGGAATGAGTCATCAGCTCCAAGAAAGTTTGGGGTCTTGCTAAGGATTAGCAGCCAAGTATGAAGAAGGCCAACTGTCCAAACCTTATTTGGACAACTATAAGGCTGCTGGATGCAGAATGCTCTGGAAACGTGGGAAATGAAGAAAGCCAGGGATTCTAAATCAGTGCAATCACCCATGCAACAACTCAGGTATCAGCCCATGATTCATGCTGTCCTCCCTTCATTGATTCAGACATGGATCCAGTGTCAGTCTCATGAAGGGTGCATCTGAGGTGCCAGGGCAACATTGCCAGGAGTGGCACTGGGAAAGAGCAAGAGAGGAAGCCAGAAGTCTACCCAGCCCCTTGCTCTCAAGGTAGAACCAAAACATATGGATCATTTTAATTAACAGTGAAACAATTTTAACATAGTGTGAAAACCCAGACATGACAACTACAAATACTTAAATAAGCTTTAAGTACTAGAGGAGACAAAAGCAAGAAAATCATAGTCCCCAAAGTAAAGAAGGAAAGAGAGGATGGGAACCTATGGCTATAGATGCCCCACGTGGCCCCAATCACAGAGGAAAGAGGAACGGAAAGGACAGACACTTACAGGTATAGACACGTCATGGGACCCCAAAGACCAGTTAAGATGCCACTTAGTGCTGTTCACAATGCTGCCCTTCAAACACAGTTAGCAGATCAGGTTAATTGGGCACAGCAAAGAGATAAAATGCAGAAATGGCAATCCTAGAATTAGAACAGTGGAGTCCAGGATGAAGCAGTCAGGCAAGGGAGGCACCATCTTGAAGGGCAGTGGGTGTCTGGAGGATCCAGGATGCACTCACAGGGAGCTGGGCCACAGCAGGAAGCTCAGAGACCAAAGGGTACTGACAATAAGTGGAACCCACAGGAACACTGATTTTGCCTGAGAAATTTCATTACATAAAGTATAAATCAGGACATAATGGATTTGGGGTCATATAATAAATATTTGTATTTCTAAATAACTACATATTACAAGTATATTAAAGTTATAAACTATGCATAAAATTCTATGTTCGGTTAATAGAGGTACAAATATCTTTTTGAATCACCCATTGAAAATTAGTAAAAGTGTGGCATAAGCTAGGATAAAGAGTTAAAGTTGACATTGCTATAAGAAAAGACTTTATGAACAAATCCTCAGTAGCACGGGAACTAGCACAAAGAATCAACAACTCGGATCTCATCTTATTAAAAAGCTTCTGCACTATAAGAGAAACCACCAACAGAGCTAAGAGACAACCTACAATGTGGGAAAAAAATTTTTACTAGCTGTTCCTCAGACAAAGGTCTACTATCAAGAATATACAAAGAACTCAGAAAAATCAGGCCCCACCAAATACAAAGACCCAATTCTAAAATGGACATCTGAAATGAACAGACATTTCTCAGACAAAGCAGTAAAAGCAGCAAGTAAATATATGAAAAAAATGTTCCACATCACTGGTCATTCAAGAGCTACAGATAAAAACAACACTGAGATTCCACCTCGCCCCACAAAGAATGACTGCTATCAAGAAATCAACCAATAACAAATGTTGGTGGGGTTGTGGGGAGAAAAGAAACCTTCTCCATTGTTGGTGGAGTGCAGACAGTGCAACCACTGTGGAAATCAATGTGGAGATGCCTCAAAAAACTAGGATTAGGGGTCCCATTTGACTCAGCTATTCCTTTGCTGGGTATCTTGCCAAAAGAATTAAAAGAATCATACCACAGTGATGTTATGTGTACCCATGTTTATAGCAGCACAGTTCATAATAGCTAAAACTTGGAAACAGCCCAATTGCCCATCAACTGGAGACCAGATAAAGATGTGTGTGTGTGTTTAATGAAATGGAGTACTACTCCACCATAAAGAATGAGAAACTAGAGACATTTATAGCTAAGTGGATGCACATTGAGGACATACTCTTAAGTGAAATTAATAGGACACATATGTGTAAATACCATATAGTCTTGCTGATGTGATAAACTAAAAGTGTAAATAAGGATCAAAATGTATAATTGATATTGTGTAATAGGAAGAAAAGGTCTAAAGTGTAGCAGAAGTGGGATGGTTAGGGGAAAGGTAAGAAGGGAAAAGAAAAAAATAAGAGAAATGGAAAAAATGAAAACAAAGTTTCCGTAAATAGGGGAAAGGTAGACGGGGTAAAGGGAAGCTGGGGGAATGAGGAAAAAAATAAGAATCAAGATACATCATGTAAAGGTACAAGATCCCAATGATAAATATAACTGCATTGTATACCTAAAATGTACCAATAAAATATATTTTTAAAAAGAGTTAAAGTTGAACTTTTGATTAAAGTGCAGTAAAAATTATACACTAACACACAATGGAGCATTAGTCTGCTATAAAGAAGAATAAATTTGAGTCATTTGTATGAAATGGATGCACCTTGAGACCATAATGTTGTGAAGTATACCAGACATACAAGCTTAAATAGTGCATGTTTTCTTTTATATGAGAAACTCAATATGCAAATAAAGTGTGAAATAAAAAAACAGATAATAGGAAAAAAGAGAAAAAAGTCATTGTACTCCTTCATAGACAATGTACAGTATCTCAAAATGTACCTTGGTTTAGTATAATTTTTTATATATTTTTTGGCCTAATAGCCTGGCTGTTAATCCATATATATGATAATTAACTTTATAAGGATTTATAAGACAAATGATGCCACAAACAAGTCACTAGCCTTAAATCCTGATGAAACAAACAGAAAATATGAGATGTGGTTTCATGTTGGCAGTGATGATGTATGGTACGTATGGAAACCATGCACAGGACACCCACCAAGGACATTATATGCATGAGGAGCTATACTCTTAATCTCACTTGCAATGAAAATAAAAGCAAAGCTAATCTACAACAGTCACAGTCAAACCTTAAAAAGTGCCCACACTCCCAGCTGTGAGAGTGCACAGTCCAGAGCCTCTCCTGTGTCCCTTGGCAGACTGGAGACAGGTTCCCTGGAGCCCTGCAGGGGGCCATGTCCCTTACCACATCTGAGAACACCCACAAGCCCTTCCTAACTGTTCCCCAACCCTCCAGCCCCTCAGTCCCTTGCCTCTCCCAGGGCCCAACCCACCCTGGCCTTGCTCGGACTGCAGTTTATTATCCATTTCCATGATTCACCTTCTGCCCAGCTCCTCCCTGAAGGACAGAGAGACCCTGACACTGCCTCACAGTGGTAGGGTGGGGGCATGGGGACATGGGACAGGGTAGAACAATGCATGTGCTCAGCCCAAGCTGTGCTGCTGTAAAGGATGGCAGGATTTCATGAGTCAGTCCTGCTCTTTCTGCTACACTGAACTCCATTTTTTAGTGAGCAACAAGAGTTCCTAGCTCCTGCATTTAAGCAAGGCACTATGGATGCAGGATTCTTCCAAAGGACTCAGAAAACAGGGGTGAGGAGACCCTCAAGCCTGTCTCTTGGTGGCAGCAGTGCAGTGCTGCAGGACCACCATGCTATACCTCGGGCTTGTGTTGAGGGCACAGCACAGCAAGCTCGTCTCTCCCTGAGGACTCCTGAGTCCCTGATGTTCCTGCTCAGAAGACAGTGGGTCCTGGTGCCCTGGAGAACTGAACAGCCTGGTGCTGTGGCTGGGTGGGAGTAGGCAGAATCAGTCACATCCACACATACCTGGCTGGGTTGGAAGTTTCTGTGAGCTGGGGGTGGGTTCTGGGGAGGCCTGCAAGCTCCTGGGCCATGATGCGCTGGGTGTTGTCATCCTGCCACGTGAAACCTGCAAGGAGAGGGGCACAACCAAGTTACCATTCAGAAGTTTGGCCAAATTCTTGCTTCATTCTCACATGCAGGGTGTTTTTCTGCACACTGGTGATGCCACCCACTAACCAAAGTGGCCCCACTGTGGGTCACTGAAGAGATTTCCTCATGGAAAATCTAGCTTCCTTTATCTCAGGACCGAAAAAGACACTCAGTGCTTTGCTACACTGCTTTTAGAAACAGACATCCTGTCTGCTGCTCTCGCTGGCAGCAAGGAACCATAAACCAAACGTGATGTGAGTCAGAAGCGGTTCCATCTAGTGTGGAAGCCAGCAGAGTTTGGTCACAGCAGAGACTCCTCAAACATGAAAGCACACATCTGCCCAGCGTCTTGCTCTCCCCACCCCACACTGCTCTCCAGCATTTGGATGGAAGAAGGGGTACTGCTCCTATGGAGCAATTATCATGGGGCTTAATGTACTGTATCTGGGAGCCAATTACACTATATTTACACTCAAATGTTATGACAAAGAGCTTTAGAACAAGGGTGAAGCAGTTATGAAGGCAAAATCCATGTGATTATGCATTAATTACATGCACTGTGGATCACATGATAATTATGCTCAGAATTACCAAATAACTCCCAAGAATAATTATTATGCAATTTGTACATTTTAGATCTTATGGTAACACTTTCGCACTTAGAACTACCCCATGCAATTATCCATAATTATCTAATCACTAAATATCATGTAATTACAGAGGTATATTTTTATGCCCTGTACAAAAACACATTACCAAAATCTTCAAATCAGGATAGCCCTGTGTGTGTGTGTTCATGCGTGTGTGTGTGTGAGTGTGTGTGTGTGTGTGTGTGTGTGTGTGTGTGTGTGTGATAAGGAAGTCCAGAATACTCGGATGGAATTAAAGGAAATGCTCAGTAGATATAAGTGGCCTTCATGAATGCACCTAAATTTTTTTCAAATGTAAATCTAAATTTTTTAAAGTTTACAGATGGCAAGATTCACACTGCAACCACATTTATGAGTCCCACAGGCCCAGATGTATAATTACTGAGGAGGTGGCCTCAGCCCTCCCTGACCCCAGCTCGTCCTGAGGGGTCCCCTTTGAAGTGTGACACATGGAGAGTCAGTCACTATGGGGGACAGTGTCTCAGCCACTCTGCCATGACTTAGGATTAAATGCACTTCATAATGAGCAAGCCCAGCCCACCCCACTTGTGAAACACATGCTCTCAGGAACATGTGCTCTGTGGCTGCTCCTGTCCTGTCTCAGGAGCATTCTCAGTGGAAAGCACTTTTGCAATTCTAACCAAGTGGCCAGCATTTTGGATTGAAGAAAATAAGCCTACTTTAAGCACATCATTCCCCAATGGTAGCCTTATATTAATATTTATCAGGAAACAGAAAACCAATGGTGTGCAGGGAATTTCCCATGCAAACATTTTCATTTATAAAATTTAGATAACTGAAATTCAATAACATTTTCTACCTGAAGAGCACAAAAGCCCGAGCTGTGTCAATCCTGGGGTCTGAGATAGGGCTCAGTCCTCCTGGACCATAGCTGGCTGGTGGGTGGGCTTTGGAGGGCTGCTGACCCCACAGCCCCAATTGCTGAACTATCCAGGGAGCAGAAGGGAACAAAGATCTGGGGGTCTGCATCCTCATGAACTTCTTCTGAGGCTTTCAGAGGAGATAAAGCCCTGAGTACTGGCTTCTGAAAAGGTGGAAAGACAAGCTTTCAAGGGGAAAAAAATGAGAACCAAGACCTGTCATGTAAAGTTACAAGATCCCAATGATGAATGTAACTGTACTGTATACCTAAAATGTACCAATAAACTCAATGAGAGAAAAAAAAGACAAGCTTTTTCCTATTCCTCTACTAGATACAATTAGACACCCTTGATCTAGGATAAGTGAAAGACTGAGTGGGGAGAGAAAAGAAGATGTAGATGGAGCTTGACCTTGGGAATGGGCTAGGCTTCCCTCTGTCTCACACCTGACCTTGGAGCCAGTGAGGCCAGCAACACAGAACCACCTAGACTGGGCAGACACGAAGCCCAGACCCAACTACCTCTCTCAGTCAGAAGGCCAGGAAGCGGGGCAAAGTCCAACAGTGACAGACACTCCAGAAAGGGCAAAGCCCCACGCAGCAAGGCTGAGAGGCAGCCTAGGCCTCCTCCCTCATGAGAAGTAGTGAAGTGCTAACCATGGCACTAAAGATGGCTGAGTAGGGGGTCAGATCCACCACCATGGTGCCAGGAAGATCCCTTGGGGGCTCAAACCTCCTGCCCCTCCCCTACCCTCACGTATGGACAGAAGTTGGGGGACAGAGCGACTTCTGCCCCCACCTGTGACACAAGTAGCAACCTACCCCCACCTAGCAGAACAGTGCAGAAAAGCCAGGCCAAGCACAAGGTTTAAATGAAATCCGGGCCAGGCCTGGTAGCTTATTCCTGTAATTCCAGCACTCAAGAGGCCAAGGCAGAAGGGAATGAAAGAAAGAGGACTCCAGAGTTTAGAGTTCATAGTGGAGACTGTCCTTGCCACAGGACTTCTCAAAGTAGGATAACCTCCATTCTAAAGAATTTGCTTTTGTTCTTTTTGACCTTTTTAAAGGACTAATGCAGATTTTAAAAAGAAAAAGATGAAAGATTGATGCATGTAACCCTGAACATCACGAGTAGGTGAGTCATGATAACAAGACAAAGAACAACAGACTAGCAGTGATGCTGCCAAAAGTGTGTTCTCCCAAGAAGGTGGGAAACATTTCAAGATGCAAGAAGAGGAGCGAAGCCTCAGGGAGAGCCAGTGTGGTCATGGGGTGGTGGGGTAGTAGCAGAAGCCTTTGGTGGGCACAGGATGATTCAGGAGGTGAAATAAGCCAACTTTCAGTTTAATTAGCTTGGTGCCCTGGTAGTTCTGCTCAGGACACCTGGCCAGCTGGTAAGCCTGAAGAAAGATGCCACCATCAGACACTGGTGAGGACAAGAGCAGGCCGTGGGCACATGCTGAGCTCTGAGATGTGTCTGGCCTAGTGAGTTACCAAGTTGGACAGTGTGTCAACCTGGGACAGAGATTCCCATGTATTTGGGGAGGCTGCAAAGGGCGGGGCAGAGAAGGGAAGGAAGGCACCTCAAACTCTCAGTGTCTCCAAGAGGATCTGTCCCTCCCATGATGCTGGTAGGGCATCCTCTCCTGAGCACCAGACATCCCTGTGGACACATCACAGAGACCTCAAAGAGGGGACACTGTGACCTATACTTCCAGATGAGAAAATGAGGCATGGAGACAGCACACAGAAGGGTTGAGCATGTTGTGTAATAGACATTCCAGGATCTGGCAGCGGGTAGGGATGGGGCTCAGTGGACTGTGTATATTCTCAACTGCATGTTCACGGGGTACAAAAGGCAGGAGAAAGGACAGTTATGGTCATTAGTGAATGATAAAACTTTAAGAAAATTACAACTTTTTACTTCCAATGGTGAAGACTAGAGATTTCCTTGAAAATAGAAAGTGAATGAGTCATTAACGTGCTTTGGAGATGGACACCTGAAGCAAGGGCCACACTCAGATGCTACAAGTGGGAATAAGGTGAGATGTGCAAGGGGGCTCCTGGCTCTCCTGACGCACATGGTCTGCAAGTGAGGAGCCAGAATGTGCCACTCTTCTCTCCAGCAGATGCTCTTGCTCCTGGGCTCCACACAGGGACCACTGCCACCTTTCTGTGAGCTCTCTTGAAGACACAAATCAAGCCACCAACTCCCTGACCATGGGCAGCTGAGCTGTAGTTCAGGAGGGAGCGGCTAGACCAGCCCCATGGGGTGGATCCCCAGGTGCAGCAAGTGCTTCCAAAAGGAACCTGGTAGGAGCCGGGCTCTTTTGCTCCAGATACCCCAGAGAGGGAAATTTATTGGAACATGAATTTTAAAACATTAACAATGAATTCAAATTTTTCAAAACACTGTTTAAGACTGAATGAACGAAACAAACGTGAACACACTACACAGCCACAAATATGCATATACAATGTGCATACACCCCCCCCACACACAGAACATGTGCATATATAACCACACACACCAGCACAGAAAGAACAAAAGAAAGAGCCTTAAAGAGAAAAGCAAAAGTTCCAAAAAGAGAAGTTTATTTTTTATATTAAATCTTAAATCAAATTCTTCTGGGGGGTTTTTTTTTTGCCCTTTTGTGTTTTTTTTTTTAATAATGCAAAATATGTTTGATTTCTGAGCTACAGTCTTGGTATTTTCTTTCAAATTGACATCAACTGATGTTTAGCACTATATCATTTTCAACCAGCTATAAATTTGCCTTGATAACTATGTTTACATAAAAGACAATTTCAGTAGCTTTCCTAGCTGTAGGGAAAACGCCAACAATTCATTTATTCTTAAAGTGCTTGTGGAAAATTTTTCTCAAAGGAAAAAAAAAGTCAAAATCATTGACAGCAAATTTAAAAGTGCAGAGATTAAAGCTCTTTTGAAATCATGGTGGAAATGGTATGAAAATAGAGCACGGGTGACAGTTCTCTATCTATGCCTAAACCCGAACCCTAAGACAGAAAGAGAAGCAGAGTGTGCAGAGCCTGGTGGTAGTTCGCAGCCTCCATGAATAAAGTAGAAAAATGGAAATAATGTACTTATCTTTGAGAGTACAGGAATGACAGCACATAGAGGCAAAAAAGAAACTAAATATTCTTTGTGGGTCCCTGGACACAAGCCCTGGGTCTCTTGTACACCAGTAACTGGACTGAAGAAATTATAGCCTTTCTCCCAATATAAATACACTCCCTCGAGGCTCCAACCTGTCCACAGAGGCCAAGCATCCATACCCCCTGGGTGCAGCTATCAGTAAGTAAAGTGAGTGTGTGAACAAAGAAAAACTCAAAAACCAGAACTATGACCAAAGCCTCCATTTCCTTGAAATACATTAGCAGGACCTGAGGACCATGTGCACAAAATGAACTCCAATGACAGGTGAG